TGGATACACTTGGAGACATTGGTTTAAGCTTTCCTTTATTAACTAACAAACAGCTGTGCGTTGGGTTCGAACCCCACACTTTTCTCCTTCTCAGATCATGCTGCTGTGAAGGACGGCTTGTCCAGCGTGACTCACAGCTGCGCCCGCTGATGAGTCATCGCCAGTCCTTTAAAAGGCAGACACTCCGATGGGACTGCCCATCACGCCTCAGCAAAAGCAGAGCGGACCTACCCAGCTCGTCTGTCAGTGGAGCGGCCGCATCTCCTGTGTAAAAAACAAGGGAGCAAGTGCATTCTCTCAAATCATTTGGTGCAGCTGGCCACACACGAGAGCGGCGGGGAGTACGGGTGCATGGTTCTGCAACAAACCCCTTTCGACCCCCAGCTCTGCCACTAAACTTGGGCTAGTTGACTCAAACTGGGTAGCCCAGTTGGTCAGAACACTATCCTGATACACCAAGGTTGAGGGTTTGATCCCCAGTCAGCACACATAGAAGAATCAGCCAGTGAATGCACAAATAAGTGAATGAACTTGGGCAAGTGGATTTTCATTGCTCAGTCTTCTTGCCTGTTGATAGCTTCCTTTAAAACATGGGCTAATTGGTACTTAGCCCATGTCTTTGGCTAGCCAGAAGCATTTCTTGCCATGTTCTATTAGGATAAACTTTCAGATCCCTAGAAAATAAAGCCATCATCTTAGACGCTGATGTTGAACTAGTTCCAGAGACTGCATCTTGAACCTGGTCTAGGGTAAGCCCAGTCAGATAGCTTGAATAGCAGCAAGACTGTGGGCTAATCCCTCAGCGGGGGCCCCAGGGCACTGAAGAGTCAACCTAAGTCTCTCATCCCATGAACCTTTGTTTCGTGCTGGTCACGTACCGGCCCATGCCCCAGTCTGCAGTAGAACTTATCCACGATCTTTATTCCCATCACTTCAGCCTCGGGGACAGTGAGGGCTTTATGATGAAGTAGCAGTTCCTTGGCTTGAAGCCCTCACCCAGTTCGGTTTCTCGATGCTGAGTTCTCTACCCCTCCCTTGTATCAGACTCTACTGGTTAACCCCTCCTGGGACCACTTGATTATTCATTTGCAACCCGTGCTGTTGCTGTTGAATGCAGGTGGTTACCCCGTCTTCACTCATCCCCTGCAGGTGATGAGCTGATGCTTCCCACCGAATGCGCCCCCAGTGGTACCACTGCCGTGGTTAGACAGCCACCCCTGCCATAGGCACTGCTCCATGACAGTGCGTGCTGAGCAGCAAGGCAGATGGGCTGCCAGGGCAACAAGGCTTAGGGTCATGCCTCCTGGGGCCCCTTCCATGGAACTCAGCTTGTCAAGTACAAATACAAGTGTGCCTAACAACCCAGCCCACACCCCCAGTTCCCTGAGACAAGAAAACCAGATCCACAATTTGTCCGTTAACCATGGGTGGTGGTTCTTCGGTCTGTAATTTGCTTTAATGTACTTACAGCAAAGATGGCGTGATGTCATGAATGCACCATTAGTGCAAGCTTCACTCTATGGTCACTCTACAAAACACGCCACACTCCAAGGGTCGTGGGCTCGCTCCGTCAGAAAGACCACCCTCCAGACAGCCAGCCACCACAAAGAGCAACCACAATCCCTGTCTTTGCTAAATACCTGAGGCTTTGCTAATTAGCACAGTGAACGTTATAAACATTTAATGGTTAATTTAACCATTAAAATGGATTTTTAATGGTTAAATTGAAGACTTTTAAAATAACATCTCAAATGTTCGGAACTGGGGAAAAGTAGAGAAATTGGAACAGGGTGCAAAAACCCAGTGAGGTCTGTACCCTTCCCCGCAAAGCCCGTGCCCAAGGCCAGTCCCTACGTAGTTTTATGTCAACAGCCATGAACATGGAGGACTCTCCCCGTGTGATGCAAGCGACAAGAGCCACCAAATCCTGCCTCCGGGACCCAGCAGGGTTGGCAGGGGAGACAGAGCTTCCCACGGCGGAGGCCCGTGGGCCGGAACTACGTGAAGCCCACAGCACAGCCCGCACACGCCACCTCGGTGCTCGTCTGTCGATAATGCTTAGTGGCTAAATGGCAGCGGTGGGGCTGCAGGCGGGACAAGGGTGAGACAGACCAGCCAGGCAGTCACCTCAGGTGCAAGCTTTCAAGAGGTGCCAAAACAAGCATGTTAATGCAATCATTTTTTTTAAATCTATGATACATGAAATATCAGATTTTAAAGAAAGACAGGCTGTTGATGTTTGTTTTACAACCCAGCATTACTGTGCATTGGGAACAGTTGTTTCTAACCAGCCCACGATTCGGGGCCGTGCCCAGGGCCTCTCACTGCGTGGGTTTATGAGGGTGGACGCGGCATGTGGATCGGGTGGGGGGGAGGGGAACCGGTGTGATCCACAGTCGTCATGCTTGACTGTAGAGCTTTCATCAACATTTGATATTAACCTCTGTAAAATATTAGAATTATATAATATGTAATATGTGTTTACATATTTGATAGTCACAGAATCTATAACATTAAAATGCTACCTATTTATCTAGTGCACAGTGTGTAATATGGTTATCTAATAAAATAATAATATGAATAATATGAGCTTTCCATAAAGGTACACAGAAGCATCTGTTTCTCCTCTTGCCTGGACCCTGACGTGGCCAGTCACGACACAGCGTGGCAGAACTTCATCTGAGACTTGCTCTTCTCGGATCCTCAATGGTGAGGCTGTCGCCCATGAGTTGGGTGTGTCTGGAGCATTTGCCACAGTGGCATATTTTCCTGGTGACCTTTATGTTCCCTCGTCAAGGCACGGTCAGTCCCAATATCAAGGTCCTGGGGCAGACAAGTTAATAGGTGCTTAAGTAACATGAAATGACAGCAAAAAAAAAAAAAAAGAGGAAGAAAGAAAAGGAAAATATATGTATGGTGAGGTGTGTGTGTATGTGTGTGTTTAACCTAGCATCTTTTTGTTTAAATATAATTTTGAGGTAATAGTCAAAATTTTTGAAATTATAGAAAGGTAAAGATAAAAGTATAACATATTTAAGTCACTCATAATTCTACTACACATGTGTATGATGTGGAAAAAGCTTCTTAATAGACTCCAAGAGTACGAATAGAGAGTACTTCTGATACACAGCAGAACCCTGTAAGGTTGGAGAGGCGGGGGGACTCTGGTGGCATTTAAGACTCATCCTGCTGGACAGATTGCCAGGACATATTGCTGGAGGAGAAAAGCAAGTTGCAGATGATAAGCAGAGTTGGATACTATTTATGACTTCGATACGCCCACACACAAAACAGCGAGCGCCGCCAGAAATTCTCTGTTAAGTGCCTGTGTGGAAGGTAAACACGCAGGCAAAGACGGGGAGGAGGGCCCTCCACCCCAAAGCGGTGGGAACATTTGGGAGTGGGTAGGGGGCTGGTCAGAAAGGACTTCTGTGCAAGGCGCTCGTGTGAATTCCAGGAGGACCCCCACACACACAAGGAAGGTGGGCAGCATGAATTGTAAGTGGGAGAGCCAAGGGTGCATTCGGCGGAGCACCGTGTCCAGGGGACAGGTGTGGCGATGGCTCCAAAGGACAGAATAAGACCAGAAAGAAGAGAATCTTGGATTCCAGGCTGAGGAATCGGCACTTACAAGAACGAAGCCACGGAAGGATACTTTTGCAAACCTGCTCTATTTGCTGCCTCTTTTTCCTCTTTTGCCAACAAGGCTGCTGGGCTGGGCTGGTGGGGCCGCTTTCCCTCATCTTTGTGCCTGGAGTAGGGGGTCAGGGGGGCGCTCTGGCTTTAAGCTTCTTATTAGAGTAAGCACATAGTTATAGCGTGAGCATCTTAGTTCCTTCCTCAGAAGACCCACTTTCCATTCCTCTTCCAGCAAACGCTGGAACATCACCTCCTTCTGAGACAACTTGTTATTTGAAAAGAAAACAGAATGCTTTCAGTTAATCATACTGTATAAATAGTACACTTTGATAAGTGGAACCTAATGAACAAAATAGAACCACAGGAAACAAGCAACAGACTGACGGGGACCAGAGGGGAGGGAGAAGGGGAGAAGGGAGAAGAGAAGGGGAAGGTCTAGTTAAAGATCAAGTACGAATGACCCGTGGACACGGACAACAGGGTGGGGGTCGAGTGTGGGAGTGGTGGGTAAGGCATGGGAGAGGAACGAGGGAAAATTGGGACAACTGTCATAGAACAACAATAAAAAAAATTTTTAAAATTAAAAATAGGTGGGAAGCTCTGTGATCTTTTGATGCTACAGGTTAACAAGATCTGTGGAAATAGAGGAATGAGTTTTAAGCCTTTAAATTTGCTGGGTGAATTCCCATGTCTTCCATATAAAAACCATCTTTTCAGCTCCTATTCTTTGGGCTGTTTTGTAAAAGAATTTAACTGATGCAACGGCACTTTAACAATCTCTGGGGACCTGAAGTATCGAGTTAGAGGTGACATTTGTGGGGCTCTCACCGTGTCCCAGGCCCTGCTCTGGGTGCTTTCTATTGGTGGAATTACTTAACCTGCACGTGAACTCCTTCAGGTAAATCTTACTAATCTCTGCTTCACAGAGGCAGACACTGCAATCCAAAAAGGCCCAGTCGCTTGCCTAATGTCACTCGCCCTCCTTTGATGGGACCAGAATTCAGATCCAGGCTCCCAGCTCCAGAACCCCAGGCTACGATACATTCATTTTAAAATAATCACAGTGACTAGCCTTTTTACTGTTATAAAATACAGATATCTGTATACTGAATCTCCTTGTCAGCAAGTGATTTTTCTCAGCATTAATGAGACCAAGCATCTACACGAAAGGTGTTGCCTCTTAGGAAGCTTCCCTGCTTCTTGCAGGAGTGGAAGGTGGTCACGCAGTGCCCCTCGCACCCACCCTGTGCTTCCACCTTCAGGCACCACGGGTCACGCCCACAGCGTTCTCGCCTCAGGTGTTTCCTAGGCTTGTATCGTCTGGGTGAGGCTTCTCAGCGACCATCAGGTGTGTGACCATTATTCCCTCTCTGTTCAATGTGGAGCACACGCCAGGTGCCCAGGAAAGTCTGGCCGATGGATATTCCATAGTTTCTGAACTTAGTGTCCTGAAATAAATTAACATACAGATTTCTTAGGGAGAAACAAACACACCAGGGGCTCCTGGGGGGGTGAGGGGCCTGAGCACTTCCATTTGGCGGATGAGAGTGGGGATGGGAGCTCCTGATATTAAAAAATGGAAGGCAAATTGCAAAAGCCACAACATTTGTCAGTTCATCTCTACCCAAAGGGGCACCATAGGGAATAACCACATGACTCAGTTTGCCTAGGAGAGTCGATCTCTTTCTCCCTCCCGATGGGATATTTAAAAGGCCTCCATCCCTTCTCACAAGCCTTCTGTTTGGATGCTGTGTTACTGATCGTCTCAGCCACAAAGTCTCGGCGTGAATGGGATACACCGGCCAATGGTCCATCTGCTGCTCACCTGTCCTGCCCACCTGTCCTCCCCACCCATGCAGGCCAAGGGGAAAGTGCCACTGTGAACTGAGACAGCCTTGCATTGTATCAAACAAGGAATGAGGCAGAGCCCTGGTGGTCTCTGGGCAAAGGCCCACGCTGCTGCACCAAGGTCAGCAGCACGATTGGCAAAAAACTTTGGACTGAGAGAGAATCCAGATGAAAATATGTTGGTACCTGGCCTTGATTTATGCTTGAGTTTATCTGACTGAATGTGTCTCAATGATGATTATAAAATAAAAGGTGACCGCATAGTTCTATCGCGTCAAGAACACTGGTCTGCTTACCTCCCACAGTAAATGCCCACGCATGGTTATATAATCCTAAAGGAAAAGCAGAAAGATACCAATTAGTTTGTTGTTGTGGGGGTGGGGTGGGGGTGGGGCAAGGAGATAGAAAAATCTACTGTAACTTACGGGGAGGAGGAAGGGAGCCGAACAACAACAAAAATAACCTTGGACTCACTATGGGCTAAATGTTTAACTCCTGCCCCCAAAATTCACATGCTGAAATAACTCCCAAAGATTATGGTATTCAGAGGTGGGGATTTGGGGAGGAGCTTAGGTCCTGAGGGTGGAGCCTCCAAGAATGAGATTAGTGCCCTTAGAAAAGACCCTGGAGAGTTTCTCAGCCCCTTTCCACCGCCCTGTGGGGACACAGACTGATGACATCGATGAACCCAGAAGGAAGCCCTTACCCAAGCACGCTGCTACCCTGATCCCCAGCTTCCAGCCCGCGGAACTGTGGGAAATACATTTCTGCTACGCATCCGCCACCCAGTCCATGGTATTTCGTTACAGCCTGAACAGCCTAGGACAGCACTGAGGGGGGAAAAGCAAATTATAAAATCACACTTGTGCACTTATGTAGAATTGTGTATGTGTATGTGCAAATAAAGGATAAACTACTAGTCTAGGGTCCGAGGCTGCCAGTGGTCTGTGAGCATATCCTGTTCACTGCATCTTCCAAAGCACTTCGTGCAATGCTTCCAGGATGCACATTTCTGAGGGGAGGAGGCAGTGAGGCCAACCAGCAAGCCCACTGGGCAGCTAGTTCCCTTTGCTATACGGCTCTGTGGGCAATGCTTCCTGGCTCCCACAGTAGCTGAGCACATGAAAGGCTGTTTTCCAGGGTCCCTGACCCTCAGGCAGTGAGGAAGGCCTGGTAGGAACAGAAAGTTCCCCCAGATGCCCCTGGATGGAGTGACCGCCGCAGCAGCCTGCTTTGAAGCTGTCCTGTTTGATCTTTAAGCTTTTTAAATTCATGAATTCCACCTATGCACCCCCACACACAGAGGCAAAAGGAAAAAAAGAGAAAAACCTACTGGTTTTCTAAAAAGGTGTATACTTTTCAAATTCATACTGTGCGGCAGAAAATAAAAATGTTGCCGGATCCTTCTAGGTTATTTCAGCTTCTCGGATATTTAAATGGACACGAGACGAATAAAGTAGAGAAGACAACCTAATTTAATTACATATATATGGCAGGGTCAGAGTCAGAAAGGTCAAACATGCCACTCTGAGCCAAGAGACAGGATAAGATGCTCTGAGGCTTTACAGGGGAAGAGGGTCATTTGCAAGATGATAAGAAGAGCAAATGTCCAGTAATTTGAAGTTTGCCCTGCTCTATAGATAGGCTACAAAGAGTCATTTCTGGTGATAACTCTCATTTAGACAAGGCCCCAATTTAAAGTTTTTAAATTCTCAATTGCTTTCCACTCAAAATAATCCACATACCAAAATACTCCACATACCTCAGGGAGGTCTGCTCTTAACCCCTTAAATTTTTATTTGAAGAGTTGTGTGCCATCCCTCACACTTTTTAATATTTATATATAAGAGCATATTCTCTTTTAACAAAATATCAGATGTTTATATTATTGTACAAAAGTAGAATCTACCTGATTCTACTTTTTAAACTTTTATTCTCATGATACATCACAAATATCTCTCCAGATCTGCTCACAGAAGTTCACTGTGTCAGTCAGGTATCGTCGTAACAGCGATGCAGAACAAATCACTCCAAAACGCAATGACTTACAACAATTGTGCTTTTGCAGTCAGCTTGGATGCTGGACTTAGGCTGGTCCAGTCTCTCTACATACCTGTTACCATCCTCTTGTGATGGTGGGGGATGATTTCACCCTGTGCCTTTTATGGAGATGGCAGCAGCTCAAGAGGGGCCGGCAGAATAACACCACTTACGTTGAAGATTACTACGTGGTCGCTGCTATCCACATGTTATTGGCCAAACCAAGTCACGTGGCCAAACTCAATATTGGAGGGGCGGTGGGATATCTCCCCCCGGGAGACTGCAAATCATCAACAAAGAGCGCGGTCATCAGGAGAGATGGAGCCCAGGAAGGATGCAGCCAGCTGGCTGTGCGTTTAACCATCCCCTGTCGATAAAAGTTAGGTTGATTACCACCCAGGAGCTGTGACTGAGCATGACTTGTCCTGCTTCCCTTTTGTCTGGGTTTCCATGAAGTCTGGAGCCAAACTGAAGTCTCAATTACGGCAAATTGCTCACAATTAGCATACCCACAGGTTCATTTTCCACTCCCACTTTATTCAACTTTATCGTAATGACCTTTTTTTGAAACCTTCCTTAATTTTTGAAATAATGCATCAACGCATGATTGATTTGAACTTTATGAGTGTCAGAGTCTCCTGACCTACTGTTTAAGGCACTAAAGAGCCTCCTGGGTTCTAACACCATGTGGGCAAGGCCCCGGACTCTCCTCCAACTTGCTGGAGCCCGTGGGAGCCTGGCCTGTCTGTGTTCATTAGTCACCGTCACTGCCACCAGAGAACCGGAAAGGGGGAAAGGGTGCAGGCTCCGAGGGGACCACTTAACTAGTTCATAGCAACTTATTCTGGTAACAATTTAACGGAGGCAGAGGTTTATCAGATGGTGTTCCTCCCTGTTTCCCATGCCAGAGAAAATCCCAGGTTAATTTTAGTTCCTTAACTCAGCATCTGGCCCTCGTCAGGTATTTAAATGCACCATGATACGCAGTTATATATGTATCAGAAAGACGTAGATGTCATCAACAGCCAAAAGGCAAGCTTCAGTGAAAGGTGACAGCCTTACGTTTTGGACTTTTGTATTTTCCTAAGTAGTACTGATTTAAAGACAACCTTCCACCCCCAGTCTCAGGATAGCACCCCCTTCTTACCATCATAATCCCTATTCAGAGTCTCACCTCCATCCTCACTGTCAGGAACTTGAGAGCAAGTGACAGACACCCGAGGACCGCCAGCTCCCAGTCTGGCTGACCTGGTAGCTGTGGAGCCATCCCAGTCCACAGCCCACGCTCTCCAGGGTGGCTGTACGGCAGTGCCAAACCGCCTGTTAAAAGGGGACGCTCCAGAAGGTTCTCTGTGGTCTCACTGAGCGGACAGGGAAAGGACCGAGGTTGGTGGCAGGACATGGTTTGAACTTACATCCGTCAGACCTGGTACATCAAGCGACTTCTCCGAAGTGTCTGACTCACTGGGTCAAAGGCGGACCAGGGGCGGATTGTATCACTCCACCGTCCTTAACAGCACAGCCCAGTGTCTGCCCCATGCAAGAGGGCATGAAGGGGGGATACAGAGCAGAGCCAGGGGTGTGGGGGGGGTGAATGGTGCAGGAAATCAGTAAATAAAAAGATAGATATTTCTAACTAAGCATTAATTAATTAATTAATTTTTAAAGCCAGCGAATTGATCTAAGCACCTGGGAGCCTCTTGCACTTCAGCTGGACTCAGCTGCTCATCACCTGCCACAAGAAGTTTTGACAGTGGGTGAAGAAGGGGCATGAGAAGAAGCCCAGCAAGAGACCCCCGTGATTGGTGACCCGGGAGCACGTTGCTGAAGCTGCCTTCTGGGTGCAGCTCTTCCCGAGTGCGTCACGGTGGTCAGGAGCGTGATTTTCTGGACTCTCGCTGCTCTCTGAGACTGTCCTCGGTTTTGCTGGATAGCAAATAGCGTGTTAAGACAAGTGTAGATCCCTTGAAGGCCAACCTGCTCCTCAGCGAGACTTTGCTGTTGTTTGACGTTCTGAGCGGTGTAAAAGGAAAACAAGCCGTGGACAACAGGAAGAAAAGGTTAAAGTGTCTTCCCAGGCAATTGCAGTATCTGCATGTCAAATGATGCTGTAAAGGCATCACCGCTGTGTCCCGAAACAAGGCTGGTGGGGCTACCAGGTAAGAGGCAGTACAGCTGCAAAGGTAAGCCAGAGAAAATGTGTTCTGCCCAGCTCTCCCCCTCCCGCTGGGCCCTGCCTAGCCCTCTAGACCTGAGGCCGAACCCAAGTTCTCTGTGGTGCAGAACCACCTACAGAACAAGCACCAGCAGCTGCGTAAGGGTGGCTTGAGAGGACGTGTAGGACGCAAAGCCCTAACGTGTATACTTCGTGCCCCCGACGTCAGTGAAGCCTACCCCTCTGCCACAGCCCCCGCCCCACCGAAGTCCAGGTTCAGAAGCCATTCCTCCCTGCAGGTCCCTGAACTGGGGCCAGGTGGAGCTGGGAGCTTATGGCAAAAAGGTAATCTCATGATTTGAAAGCTAACAATTGCATAAAGTGCAAGGAAACCACACGTAAAGACAATGAGAAAATGGCGCAGAAATATCTTTCACCAAGAGACACTTGCATCTTAGCGGGAAGGCCTACATCCCAAGTCGTGGGTCTATCTGTGACCCACTGAAGAAGAGTGATTTCTGGGTCAGCCTCTCCATTTCCCTGAGTGAAAATGAGGTTATGTAAACAGCAGGATTTTGTATGTTTAAGCATCGGGCAAAGTCAGGAGATTTCTATAAAAAACCCCAGTGAAAGAACCAGGGCATCCAGCTCCTGTCCCCCTGACCGAATTGCCGGGTTTGCTTCCCAGTGACCCTGCAGGGGACACACACGAAGACACATCTTTGTGTTTGTGCCCGAAGGCTCCCATGTACCAGGGGCAGTGCTGTGTACCAAGCCACAGGGGCACCTTGACACTGTCCGTGACTTCTGGGTACACAGCATGTGTGACCTCGGAAGAGGAAGAGAGAGAATGATTACTTTTTTGAGACGAGACCGTTGACAACATGCAAAGTTTTGATAAGCCAGCAGCCCGGTACCCTTACGAGCTACCCCCGTGAGCTCAGGGAGTCCGTTTCCAAGCTCAGGCCCCCGCTCGTTGTGTTAATAAGGCTGAGATTCCTCACGGGCACATTTTCTGTGAGAAAACAAGTGCCCTGTCCCCGGGTCTGGCTGCAGGCTCCTGCCACCTCTGCTTCGCCAATTAAAGACTCTTTCAGAGAAAAATGACAGTTCTTACAGAGGCACTAACCCATATGTGTGGGCTTGGACTACCCAGGCCTGAATGGGATAAAAAAAGTGCTCAGTCCTTTGTCCTAGAGGACAGGTGAGCACACAGGATGGGAGGGGGGACTCATTGCTGGGTGGCAGAAGAGCCACCATGCACAGAGGCCCCTGGCTGCCTGGGGCCTCGGGAAGCACCGCCAGCAGCGCCCAGGGGCTTTGCCTGCCCGAGGGTCACCAACACCGAGGGTGGGACACTCGCTCACACGTGGGCTGGGCAGGCAGCCCGGAGAGTGTGGAGTGAAACACCCTGATGCTTGAGCTGAACACTTGGTCGTACTTTAATCCCCTACTCTTAATATTGATAAAGAGAAATTATTCCAAAGATTTGGGGGTATCTGAGCTAACCCTGAGACCAGTGTGCAGGTGGATTTTGAAGAGGGACGCTCCAGGAGGTGAGAAACCAGGTAGGACACCGAGGGAAGATCTCAGAAAGAGGCCAGTGAGCGTCAGAAGTG